CTATAGTGCTGCGACCAGAACGGAATCCGCACTGCTCTTCCGCCACGTTAGGTTCCACAACCAGACTGACGAGGCGGTTGAGCAGGATTCGGGCAATCACCTTGCCCACACAACTCAGCAAGTTGATGCCACGATAATTCGTGCAACATTGCTTGCTCCCTTTGACTCTTGTATAGTGGTAGCACAAGGGCATCCTTCAGCTCAGGAGGCGCCTCCTCCCCAAACCATACGCATTTCACCAAGTGATGCGGCGCAGCCAACAACGCGGGTCTGTCGTGTTTCAACACTTCAGGCGGTATCCCGTCGGCTCCTGCAAACTTGCCGTTTACCAGCTGAGCAAGCGCTATCTGCGTCTCATCCAGTGTTGGTGTGTCTGCCAGACTCGTCTTCACATCGTGCTTCCCCCGCCCCGTTCAATGTAGGTCAGTCGATCTCTGAACGGTTGTTCAAGAGACAGTCAAAGTGTTTTCGCCAGAACTGCATTATGTCTGCAGTCTGTGTGCAGGTAGCGCCTGAACTACCATCGATCAGCGTCCTCAGCGCATCCAATCTCTGTCCATACACCGCCTTCAAGGAGTCAAAGAATTCCTTGTGTTGGCAACGGTCGGCGTAGCATTCCATCTGCCTCGCCTTCTCCGTCCACCATGCATTTTTTGTGCGGCTGAGCTCTCGGGTCAGTCGCTGTCGAAGTTTCCGAAACTGACTATTATTCCCCAAGTCACTGGGGGCTGCGACATTTGTAGCAAATGCTGCATTCTTCTCCGACACCAATGCGCCGATCGTCGCATCGTTCTCATCAAACCAATCAGGCCGCTTACAGTCTGTGCGCTCCATGGTCTGCTCGACAGCAGCTGTCACCTGATCGCGAATGCGGTGCCACAGGTCACCCACTGTGGCTATGCCTTCCACATTACACAGGCTTGCAGCCATTGCCTTCTCCAGCTCAACATGTTTCGTCCCGGTACCGAGGGAGAGAATGTTAAATTTACGCCGATTCACGGTGGGAGTGCAATACATAGATTTACGAAAATATATGTACAGTTTGGTCCGAATCAATTTGTGATCAGTGCCACACTCAGCTCCACGCAGTACACATGTCATGCGCACTTCACGCATATGGCGCTGACGTACGGTGACATAGCCGAGCAGGTGAGCGTGACCACTTCGTGGGTGCGTCCAGGTTGCTATATCACTCCCACTCAGTGCAAACCGAGTGTTGGTGATCGTCAGGCCGTGAGCGGCACGCACTGAGAGCAGCTTGTCACCCTTCGCATTCGCTGAATCAATGCAATGCGAACCGATAACATTTGTCCACACCGATGCATCACGCCCAACAAGCGCCTTGAAATCACCCAGCAGAAGTAGTCGGTCGCTCCTCGGCGCAGACCGTATCACGGAGGATAGCTGAGTCTAGAATTGATCACGCGTCTCATCAGGATAACACATGGTCGGTCCGTAAGTGCTTAAAAATGTGGCAAACTTACTTCTTCCGTGTCGTAGACCAACAGTCATCAGTCGCGCGTTGATGCCTGCTGGTTCACCCACCAGCTGGCCATGGAGGCGATCGGATGTTGCAAATCCGACCTCATGTTCACGTGGTGCTGAGATGGCGTTGCCCATCCTGTAAAATGTGTAGGCAGCACCTGTTTCGTGCAACTTACCTTGCTCAGCGAGCCGGGTTTCACTGAGCGCCGCAATATCGATGTGGTAGCGCGTTAGTTCCATCGCGACGAGTGCAATGCGTCGCTCCGGGCGCTCGCTGGAGTTCCGGTCAAGTAGTGTGCGCACGTTCCAGCACCCGCTGCTGAGTGCTTTGCGCGCAGGCAAAATATTGCCTTGGTCTGCAACTGCACGCGAGATGTTCGTTGTGCTTCGGAGGTTTGCTTGACGGACTCCCCCCGGAGTCTTTGGCTCAATAGTCTGACCCACAATGCAGTGGGTGATTTGGAGGTTTGCTTGAGGGACTCCACCCGGAGCCTTTAGTTCAATAGCCTGACCCACAAGGCAGTGGACAGCCAATCCAGCTCGGGAAGGTGATTGCAGAGAGAGATTGGGATCTGCTTGACGGCCGTCACACGCAGCCTTGGAGGTACTGGAAAGATTCATATATGTTTGCGACCGTAGTAGGATACACCTGTAACCACGGCCAGACGTAGGTGGGCTTTGACGTGTTTGCACCAATTTCGCCAAGAGCTGCATGGCTTAAGGCGGGCAGTAGCAACCCACTGAACACCCAGAGGTGCGCTCCCACCGTCAGAGAAAATGCGTGGCGCTCGTGCTCTACGCAAATTGAGCTGTGAACTTATAACACATAGACCTGTTGTCTCCCATGGCTAGGTGTTATGGAAAGAGGGCCATCCAAGAGGATGGACTAGGATACTGGCAGGGCGCTCACACCTGACAGCAGAACGTTTTGGGTCCCCAGCCAAATCCTTCGAATAAATGTACACCCGAAAGGCAGCGGGTCTAGCACATGGACAGTTCACTGACTCATGCGGATTGGTGTCCTGGAGCTTAGCAGGGAGAAGGGCGAAACCCAACGCCCACCCAGCTATCGCCACGAGGAGGGGTCCAGGACATGAGCCTATGGCGCAACAGTAGCAGCAGTGGGTACATCATCTGTCAGGATCTAGCCACCACCAGCCTCAGCGCAAAATAGGCTCTCTCGCCGCACATGATCATGGTTTGCGGCACCCGGTTTCAGATTTACCTGTCACTGTGGCCAGTAACAGGACGCCTGCGCCTACAGAGGGACCATGGGTGGCTTCCGCTGCACAACACGCAGCTCCAAACACACACCTCATATCCAGAGTAAAACGAAGGAATAAGACCGGGAGGCATGTGGATGGGAGCCACGTTTCATCAACGCGGCTGGCCCACACTCCTTCACAGGCAAGCACAAGCACACTCTATTTGGGGAATCAAGTGCACACAAGGCGGTGGCTGGACCGTAGTCCGCTCCACACTGACTGCATGGAACCAATCTTTTGAGCCTTGCGCGACCACAAGGACCGTACATCCCTTCCCTTCCAGCAACGATCCACTGTCTCTTGAGCCAGTATGAACGAGGTAGTGGGTGATAGACAGGATGGCACCTTATCAACATACACATCAAGCGCAGCCACAACGGGGATGTCAAACAACAGCCAATCACTTCAAATGACGTTATCAAATAAAATATATCTCATAAATAATACGGCTATGCAGACCACTCTGCCCTAATTTAGCATATTATAGTTAGCTGGGTAGCAACAATCCGCGATAAGTACAAAATTTCCAGAAGTTACTCAAAAAATGCCACAAACACAATAATGTTAACGAAGATTACCACAGTTAGCGTAAGCAAGCAGGCTAGTTAATGGAATATTGGTCAGGTAGGCAGAACAAACCAAATAAATTGGAATAAAATTTAACCAGCTTAAAATGACATGTATTAAGAGTAAGTTGTTTTATCCCAACTGCGGTGAAGAAGCATCATGAATGCTACATTAGCCTTAGCTTGGGGCACATGATCATACATGGTTCGGTGGCGTCCGTATCCGGATTTGCCTGTCACTGTGATGTCCATGGGGACAGTCACAGGACGCCTGCGCCTACAGAGGGACCATGGGTGGCTTGCGCTGCACCACCCATAGTTCCATCCACACACCCCATATCCGGTGTAAACCCGAAGGAATAAGACCGGGAGGCATGCGAATGGGAGCCACGTTTCATCAACGGAGCCGGCCCACACTCCTTCAACAAGCAGAACGGAAGCATTCCAGCCTAATTGGGAATTCATACACACCAGACCTACACGAGGCGGTGGCTGGACCGGAGCCCGTTCCACACAGGTTGCATGGAACCACTCTTTGAGCCTAGCACCGTCACGAGGACGGTGCACTCCGTCCCCTCCAGCGACGACCAACTGTCTCCTGGAGCCAGTATGGACGAGGTAGTGGGTAATAGACAGGTAGGCACCTTGTCAACATGCACATCAAGCGCATCCACACCGGGGATATCAAACAACATCCAAACACTTGAAAGAGAGAAAGAAAAAGAGAAAAACTCGATTAATGCATAAGGAAACGGTGATGTAAACCTTAATTAAATAGCATATGTAATAAGTTGATTACAAACAAATCCTTGCTAAGTGCATACAATACATACATACACAATATATGCACAATTGGGTCCTCACTAATCGGTGATCAGTGTCACACTTAGCCCCACACAGTACATGTGTCAGGCGCACTTCACTTTTTTTACGCTGGCGTACGATGACATTGGCGTTCAGGTGAGCGTGACCACACCGTGGGTGCGTCTAACTAAATCGCTCACACACACTGCAAAACAAGTGCTCGTGCCTGTCAGGCCATGAGTGGCGCACAGTGAGAGCAGCCGAGCACTCTTCCCAATGGATCTGCCAACAACGTGTAGAACGATTATGTCTGTCCACACCGAAGCATCACGCCCAAGGCGCTTGTTGTTGTCACCTAGTGAGAATAATCAATCGATCGTCGGCGCAGACTGCATCACGGAGGATAAGTGAGCATAAAGCTGAACACTCGTGTCAGCAGGCTACAAGATGGTAGTACCATTCGTGTTAATTAAACTGGTAAACTTTACTCTTCCAAGTCGCAGACGGAGAGTCATCGGTCGTGGAACGATGCTAGTCGGCTCTGCCACAAGCTGGCCATATAGGCTTTCGGACAGTGCAAATGTTACTCATGAACAGTGTTGCTGAGTTGGCATTCTCTACCCAGTAGAAAGTGTAGCCAGCACCAGCTTCATGCAGGTTGCTTTGGTTAATGATTCGAGTTTCATTAAGTGCAGCATCTGTCAGTATTATTCAGGTCTAGTATTTTCGCTAGTGCAAGCGTTTTGCGAGGAGGCGGATATATAAATAAATAATATATATATATATATATACATATATATATTTTCAAAATTAAACCCTTTAGATTCACTAACATCAAGACAAAAGCAAAGATTTCCAATATATTATTTTAGTAAAAACATCAGGGTGTAGCATTTATGATTTTAATTAGCAAGGCAGTGATGTCGTAACCAATTCCCGTTGGGTTTCGCTTCTCAAGGGCCTCTTTTGCCGCTGTGATTGTGTCCGCCTCATCCAATGCGAAGTACAAGAGAAATTCCCCTTTCACATGCCCCCTGTGTGGACCGGTTACAGTACAATTAAATTGGTTGTCGTCCGAACTTTTCGTAGTGTTTACTCTCTTCGCATACTAGTTGATGAAAACAGCCAGTGGCAAATGAAACATATTCGCATTAGCAGGATAAATTCATGAAAAGAGAATTCTATGGTTTGACGGCTTTGGTTCGAGACAAATTTTTAAATATTTTCCAAATTTGCCATTTTAGTTCTCTTTTGTTTATGTATCGATCTTACGCTCAGACGAGTATATGCCTTGGGCTACCAAGAGCATGGGATGTTTTGCCTGAATTAATAGCAAGTAAATACAAAGTTGTACGTGCCGCATTCTCCTAATGGATGTCATTGCAACGATCCTCCTTCTACCAACCTAGGTTATTCTGTTCAGAATTTAATAAGAAACACCATATCTTTTAACTTAACCTATTGGATACTTACATATTGAAATTGGTCAATAACATTTCAAATATTAGCCACTGTGTGTTCAGTGAACTTGTTTGTGACTTGGACAAACATTAGAACTTAGTCGATGGTTGTCATGTATGTTCGGCACAGCTGTAGTGAGTACGCCAAATCAATAAAAAATAGAACACTGTCAAATTCATTGTGACATGGGCTATGTTGCGCCTCAAGTCAGTGTATTGGCGAGAGTATTATGATTTGCGAGTTCACGGTGCCTTATTTTCTGAGCCATTGCACTGGCTCGAGTAATCTATTTAACCACCACCGTCTTCTAAATATCGTAAGTGTTCTCGCTTAGTAACACTGCGAAATTTGTTTACGAATGGAAGTATACCTACTTTTGAGCAGGTCGTTTCCGCAGTATGCATCACCTCAGTTGCGCTGCCATATACGCTGTGCCATTCGCCCGTTGAATCATCTCCGACGAATCTCACGGCAATTCGGATGGCTAAATTGGATTGAAAATAACAGGAAATCATAAGTTACATGCATACGAAATTTTATTTAAATCGTTAAATGTTGTCTTCCTGGTGCAACGATTGCTCTTGTTTGTCAGTGGCCAAAGTGTAGGCGCATTTGTTTGCCTGTACGTTTCATTACTAACTATTCTTGTCGGTGTACCAGGCTTACAATCTTAGCGAAAACTGCTGATAGTTTGGCCAAAAGATTTTAGCTTCGATGTGGAAATCATAGTCATAATACTGGGAGTTGAGTGACGTTCTACAGCAAGAGTAGTCAGTTGCGTTTAATTCCTCACTCTGGCGACTGATGTGATATGTGTTGCTTTGCATTATAATGTCAGTTCCCACACGGGCTAACCTCATTCCGTTTGTGACTGCGGTGGTAGTCACTCAGTGCAGAACCGAGAGTAAAAGAGGAGAAGCGGATTTTTCGCTTACTTGTGTAATTTAGTAACCACTGTATGCTGTGAATCCCGCTGTGGTTAAGTAACTTACTTGTCTGACCTTTGTTGTTAATCGCCCCTATGAAAGAATAAAGACAGCAGTTAGCTTGCCAAAAGGAGGAAGGATGTACAGTAATTTGGAGATCTGACTGTATAGTTAGCTCATATTGAGTGTGACAATATCCGTTCATTGTTTCATTTAAGTGACTTTTAACCGCTGAATACCTGGCATATTCATCAACTGAATCATTACTTAGTGCAACGCAATTGTTTTACGAAGGAAGATAACGTAATAGGAAACGTAAGGTTGTTAAAAGTAATTACAAAATTTAAGAGGCTTGTACCGAATGGCTGTTGAAGGTTTAAGTCCATGATGTTTAAGTTAGTCATCCGCTTTTCACACTCCGAAAACAATTCCAATGAAAATTTGTATGCTTCAATTGATCCTGTAGTCTCCAGATTGACGATGATGTCAGTTTGATCGGGATAGCCAGTTAATGAATATAGGCCACATCCAACTTTACCGTATGGCACGCCTTTGCTGGATGCAATTGTGACCCGGAGCTGAAATCGAGTGGTGACTATTGATTTACGGTGGATAATACGTTCACAGTTTAGCGCACATAGCCCAAAACTCCGGACATGAGGTCCGTATAAGAGTCAAGTAGAAGATCCACATTAATGGTTTAGAAAACACATACTCTTCGCAGATCGATTTTAAGTTGAAGCGATTACTGTGAGCCTGTGGAGAAGAATTCAATGCGGTGCTTCTTACCTTGTCGCAGACATCATTCAACCGGCTGCCTGCTGGGATGTCTTCCAATTCCTTTTTACTTGCAAATGGTAAGGTATTACCATCCTTCAGAATTATTCCTTTTATTGTTATGACTGTTAGTGCAATCGAAATTGAGATATACATTGAAAAACTGACTAATTCATAATGGCGCATGCAATATCTGCTTATTTCGTCATTTTTGGTTAGCAGCGTGTGTACTGCTAGTTCTGAGTTTACTTTAGAATGGGGATTACATTTCTCATGAAATTTTGATGAAAACAATAATTTAGTCACAACTGAAGTATTGGAGAACTTAAAATTTAATCTATACTTGGTTTAGAGTGATTGATTAGAGACATACACTGCACTAGTGTGAACTCACAGTGTGGACGCTTCAGTTCGCATGACAAGCATGCAGTTGCTGTTGAACGAAAGAGGTAACTTCCTTTTGGATGACGTTAAGGAATCGCTTGTCCCACAAGGTTTATCTGAAGTGAATCAAACTAGAATGTCTAAGTAAGTAAGTGAGTAAGTTGCTAAGACCACCGCATTGATTTCTCTAAATCGGTGTTTTTTGAATATTATGCACTTAAATGTGCATGAATATCGACCAGCCGATCGACTTTTTGAGCGGTCAGCGTTGGAACAATGTTCTTTGTACGCTTCCATGCATAATGCACTCTTGCTGTCAGACACAAGTCTTAACTGGAATGAGCAGCCGATTCCAACACTACGTTTGTGTTACTTAAATAAATAACGAATGTTTCAAGGGCTTAATTAAATCTGTATAGGGCATCGATCTGCCCTCCAAATTAATCCCATGCGTGGCAGCTTTTTGATGTGCAAATACCTACTCAGACAATAAGTTGCATTATCTTTTGACTACTGGACTAGTACTTGTCAAAGGAGATTAGATGATATGCATAACATACATAGTTCAGTGGCGGAATATTATTATTGAATAATCAGCATCAGAGAATAAAGTGCTGGCTCAAATTCCATCAGGAAACATACCAAGGAGTAGTAAGCATTGTGAAGCAAACATTATAGCGCTTAGGCGGTAGTACCATGGGGTTGTGATGCTCAAATAAGTTATATATCCGCCACGAGACACTTACCAGACAGTAGCATTTCGAGTTGGTGGATTTGTGTGTATCACATACCTGATAATTGGTCCGCTGTACCTTTGCACCAATTGGATAGCTGACAGGACCAATTAGGCACACGAGTAAGTGGGGCGTCAACGTGCTTGGCGTCAGAGGATTTGTAACGTTTGGCAGTGCTTAACAGATTGCAAGATGGTCCGTGTCCATCATGCTGGTCCCAGGAAGTTGAAGGTTGATGATCTTTCCGCAAAGGCTACACGAGCATCTCACAAAAGAAGTAAAAGGCGGTTTTGTTAGCTGTGTTTAGGCCTCAGTAGTGCGGAATACTTTGCCTCATGTTATGACACGAGTAGATACTGTTAAGCATATTTGGTGGCTAGCCATTTACAGATGCAGGTTGTTTTAGATCACATTTTTCTGGGCAACGAAATCTGAGTAATACTGATGTACATCAGTTTGATGGAAGTACATGGCAATATTAATGTTAGGCTGATGCTAGCATTAACTGACATGTTGCTTGTGTAAGTACCCACTAGTTAACACTGAACCAACACGTTGCTCAGTGAAAAAGTAGAAGATACTAAACTATGTGGATATTGGGGTATTGCTCTGGATCAACAGAATTGACATTGCAGTATGCTGAAATCCGGTCGGTATCTGCTTGCCAAACCTTCTCTCTCTTCAGATTCGCTGCCGCCTACGGTCTTCTTCCAGCTGGAATAATGTACCTCTAGGTCACGTACTGTGCGGAAGCCGACAATTGGTTATCTTTTTATTCTTAACGCATTAGATGGAGGAGCAAAACTATAGGAAACGACGTTGCACTTAGCTAGTGGATATCTTATTTTCCAGTGGTCGCATCACTGATCTAATGTGATAACACTGCTCTGAATATGGGGAGTGTCAGTTCAAGTTCCATTCTTATGTAGGCAGAAAACAACTTTATTATCAGCAACAAATAAGACTGCGCTTTAGTGGGTGAAGCAAGCAAATATGCCGTTAACGAACAGAAACAATGTTAGTGGGACCAGGACACTCCACTGAAACACGACACAATTGACGGGTCTATACTGTGATTCCGCTCTATCCAACCTTATAATCTGAGTACTCCCTGACATATAGGATAAGAACCATGAAAGCAGCTGATGCCATATGTCGAAGGACTGCAGTTTAGTTATTAGACCAGGATGCGAGACTCGGTAGAAAGTCTTTTATATGTCAAACATACAATGACAATGCATGGCCTGAATTTATTATTTTGTTACAAGGTATAGAAACTCGAATTGACAAGGCTAGGATAACTTATCCGAGAAAAATTCATATTAGAACTATTTAGTTAGGCTGCGCGACGGCAGCAATTCAAGAACGTCTTCTTTTACTGCCCACATCCTTCCTCCTGACGCGATAGCTGTGTGGTTGACTGGACGGAATTTGTCAATGTTCGGGCGACAGCCAATTCTGTGTCTCGGTAAAACAACATCATGCTTCCAGTAGGCAGGGAAGGTATTTCTTCTTATTGACAAAATGACCGCATGAAGCGAATTTCAGTGCCACCTCGCTTTGGGACTATAAAGTTAAGCCGTCGCGGCCAGTTTAGTAGGACAGATTAAGCGACCCTATCAGCTAGCAATGGTGCACAGATCAAAGAAAATACTGGACAGTTCATCTTATGTATGTCAATGTACATGAACTGTGCGTGTCATGCAAACATAAACGTTTGTGTTGCAGAAATACATGTTAAACAAATCACGTGGTTCTTAATGGCCGTAAGCACTGTTTTATCCAGGAGTACAAGTGAAATAATGGGTGTCACATTCCGAGAACCCCCTATGCTTTAGTCAATTAGTCAGCTATGTTGACGGGTTTGTCCTAAAATTCGCGGTTTTCTCCTCTGCTGACTTCACTGAAACATGCTTCCGTATGGTAGCATGGTTTTATTGATGCGCATAAGAAGAAGGAACCCTTTGACTTCTTGTATTTGGATCACACTTATTGATTTTTGCGGATATTGTCTTAAAATCGATGCGGTTAATTGACAGCTTGGTCGATCTGCGCGTTGCTTTGGTGGGAATGTATTCAGGCAGAATTCAACCATGTTGTAAAATTCCTTGGTGGTATATATACCTCATTTGCCGGAATGAACCTGTTCCACACCATGGATGTGAAGTGATTGAAAAAGCTGTTTCAGTTAATTAACTGACATGGTCATTATCCAGCCATTAATCTTGCAGGGCGAACCATTATTCTTGTTAAATACAACGAGAGCTCCACTACCTTGGATATTCTCTTGCCCACTCGCGAATGCATAGGGATACATGATGTCAGAAATAGGTGAAGAGCATTAGCTTGTTTATTGGGTACACATATATGCTGAGTCTAGTCGCACGCTCTGATGGTGTCTGATAGAGCCAGCTGAATTCCAACGGTATACTCCAGTGATCCTACAAATTTACCAGATGGCAAGGCCGGCGTAGTATTATTTCGGTTGTAATCGTTACCCAGCGCCTATATTGCTCTCCTAACCGTATGTCTGATAGATAACACAAGATATATCTGCCCATAACCCAGCACTTAGTTACGATTGGTTCAATATCATACCCAATTCCCCTGCCGCAGCTCTCTATACTTATATGTTTGAAAATCAAGAAGGAATCAACGAAGCTACTGAATCAGCTGACCCATCGACTAAATTGATTCAGCAAGTACTAGAATTGTTGGTGAACGAAGGATCAAACAAAGTTATAATCTCACGACCACGTATCTCTCTCACGAAGCCACTATTCATGCTGGTCGCTATAACATGACCCATGGAGGCACATGTGAGTCCGACTACCATGTCTCAAGCTACAAATACTTCATTGACTGTCGTAAATCAGTTTGTGCTATCTGTGTCCAACAGGCTATTTAAGCTTCGGCATAGCCTATTCAAACATATTGGCGCTTTGAAGATTCCATATATTTGCATGTTATAAATAAATCAGCGGTTACTTCCTCGACGGCGGGCCGCACAGTCCTACTGAGTTGCCTGATCATTTCTTACAACGAGATCGCATAAAATAGCGTAATGTTCATGTTTTCTACAGCGGATCCCAAATGTGTTTTATAATTGACTGTTAGTTTGTAGGTCTCAAGGTGATAAGGAAACTGGGAAAGACGACAGATACTGAGTTAGTAAAAGTTATTATGGACAATATTCTCATTCTTATCGGAAGTAAATAAATGTCGTTTAAATATCGCTTTAGTGAAAAAACGTTTTACGATGCGTGTTGAGCCATACTGCATGATAAACTGTGAACTGCTAGGTAATAGTGGAAGGCTTCGACATGCATGATTTGCCATGGTCCTTGCACAGTGTCTGCTAAGTTTAAACGATTCGTGTACACTGTGCGTATTTAGGAAAGGACTTTGCAATTTATGTCTTCCTACAGGATAGAGCAAATCTTAGGTTCAGTCCTCATCATGGGCCTCATTGCAGCTACCCCCGAAATTTGGGAACATTTTCCCGGTAGTGATAACATAGTGATTAATTTTTAGTCAACATTAGTGTTCCTTTACAAAAAGAGAGCAACCGGAATGATACGTGATTATCAGATAATACAAAATTGTCCAAAGAGGACTGGTAAACAAAATGATCAGGACCATTTACTGCGACGCATTTCTCCTCGCTGACGATCTATGGACTGCAGCAGACGAGCTTTATAACAGTATTTATCG